TATATATATATATATAGACATATATTTATGGATGGAGATATAAATGTGTATAGATATATATATGTATATATATGTAAATTCATATATATATAGATATATATGTATATATGTATGCACATATAAATGTATAGATACGTGAATGTACCAATATGATTGGCAGCAGGAGCTCTGCTAAGGTTTAGAGGTGTTTAATGTTCCATTGAATTTGGAGTGATTACCAAAAATGGATCGAGTCACATTTGTTGAGATTGTATGTCACTCTAATCAACTTTAACCCCCCCATATTGATTGAACGTACTCATTATTTAAACATCTTTAAACTTTAGGACTGCTTCTTCACCGAGGAGCTTGAAGATAACTACGAGGGCATCATTCTACAACAAGAATGAGATCTACAACAACAAATCTTTCCTTAGAATTAAATAGCATGTCATAGGATTTTTAAGTTGTTTTCTTAGTGTAACATAAGTCCTCACTTCATCTTTAGGACTTTGCATAGCTTACTATGCAATTTAAGCCTTAACTTGTCTTAGGCTCCGAGGTTGTCGTTCGTCACGATGTAAACCCTCCTATCTTCCAGGCTATTTGTATAATTGTGCATACAAATGTAAGCCCTAAATAATAATAATTGACAAGATGAAACATTTAATAATTTTCTTTTCGAAATTGAAGCCAAACCATATGATAACTTGGGAAGTCACTGATATTCTTCTTAAGATCTGTAACACCATCTAGTTTTCTCCCATCAGATTCCATAATAATGTTCCAAATTTGAGTCTTTCACATCAGATTCCATAATAATGTTCCAAATTTGAGTCTATCACATTTGACACTCCTTGGTTCAATCTTTGAAAAGTCCAACCCCTTGAAATTCTTGACGATAAATCGAGAGTTTTCTTAGGTGACCTTAGTAATTTAAGATGTAATTAACTATAGGGGCTTGCCCTTATAGGAAACTTTAGAGCCCAACTTAAAATAAACCCTATCTAATCTTTCATATTAGATAGAGAAATTTGTCGGTCAACATAAATGTTCACAGACTAAAACTTATGTCATAAATTATTTAGTTTATTTAATTGATCCTCACGGATAAGTGATATGTCTATTCCTCGAAATAGGTATGTCACTTGTAGTTTCGTGCTCGCTTATTTAACTATTGTCTATATGGGATCAGTTCGGTCTCATATATTTAAAAATTAAAATATTACTTTCCAAAATTATTATATATTATATTAAATCAAATATCTTCTTCTCAAAAAAGGCGATCGACAATAAATAAGGGTATTTTCTATTTAAATTAATTTAGAAACTTAAAAATAAATATCTTGGTGTAGAAAAATCCTAAAAATAAAGTAAACATACACACAAGCTCAACGGACAGAGGAGAAAATTATGAACAAAAAATAAAAAAATAATTGCATTATATTTATTTTTAAATTATTTAAATAAATTAAAATTATTTAAATCATAACTAAATAAATATTAATCAAAAGAATGTGATATTTGGAGGGCTTACTCTTCAAGTGGTTAGGAGTGTTCTCTGAAAGCTTTAATTTCCTAGGACTTTTAGTATTATTTTAATTAAATAATTATAAAAAAATAAAATAAAAATTAGAAACATATAAAAACAAGTTTGGTAGGTTTACTGTGCTCAGAGGACCTTAAGAAAAATAAAAATCAAATTTAAAAGGTTTAAAATACATTTCTCCATTTAAAACAAATAAAAATTATTAAAAATTAGAAAAATAGAAAATAATTCAAAATATCACCAAAATATTC